TTGAGTTAAATGAGTTAATATAATATATATTAAAATATTAAGATGAAAATAAATTATGCCTTACTCTAAACAATAATGCTAATGACAGAACTTCTTACATAAGAAAAAGAACTACAGAAAGAATCAGAAAACAAAATCCAACAATTTGCTTTTTATAAGTTACAGACATATAGCAAAATATATACACAAATTTAAAAAATAAAAACGCTGAGCTACATAAACTCTCATGCAAATGGAAATGCAAAAAAAGCCAGGGGTTTCTATTATGATTTTTGGAAAAGAGAAGTTTAAGCTAGAAGCATTAAAAGAGGCAAAGAGGGCACTAAAAGGCACAGTTTTCAATATATCACTATTAAATATATATGCCCCACATATCATGGTCCCTACTTTTAATAATTTATACCCTGCCTTCTTCTCAAAAAGGATTTGAGATAACTGCATGACTAACTTAGCAACAACATACATAAAAGAGAAACAGAAATTAAAGTGAAATAGAAATATGCAAAGAAAAAAACACCCAAAATCAGACTACAATTAGATCAAGTAAATGGTTCTTAACTATTTTGGGGTCACAGAGCCCTTCCAAAATGTGGTGAATGCCCTAGACCCCTCCCAGAACATCTATGCACATACCCACACAACTGTGTTCACTCCCTAGGAGGCCGCAGCCTCCAAACCCCTGCACGTACACGACTCCTAAGCAGTCCATGGACCCAGGTGAAGAGCTCTGAAGTAAACAAAAGTTAGATCAAGTATGGATTTGGATAAATTAATTTAAAAACTAAGTTAACAAATAGAACTGATAGAGTAAAAACACATTTCTTGAGAGAACACAAATGCTTTATAAAAACTGGTAATATATTCAGGCCCAGAGAAGTTCTGTGGACACTTAGAAATGCTGACACCATGTACAATAAGTAACAACAACAACGGCCTAAGCATTCACCACTTGGAAATATAAAAATATTAATAATACTAATAACACTTGGGCCAAAAGGAAATTCTTAATACAATAATAAAAAATACCATGTCAAACTTACGGAGTGCAGAAAACGCTCTAAGAAAAAATCATAGACCAAAGTATCTACATTTAGTAGAAATATTAAAAATATGATTATATCTAAATAATTAATCTTAGAAATGTAAAGTATTAAGCCAAAAAAAAAAAAGAAAGAAAAGAGCAGAATACACATACTTTGACAAAGCAATTCAATTAGTAAACAAAATCAAGACTTGGAGCTTTATGACACTCAACATCTACCACAAGGAAAAAAATGTAAGACAACAAAACAAAACAAACAGCCAACAACTAAATTCAAGGACAATTAGAATGTTACTAGGACGATCTCTTACAATGTTACACTGTTTGAGACCCTAAATAAAACGAAAGCACTTACAAGTACATAGTAAACACTGAAGAAGTGGAACAGAAGGAACCAGGTTCTGCTCCCACTTCCGAGAGAGAACCGTACCTGGTCTTACCATGGCTATGTGAGACTGTCCACCCTTCAGAAAGGGGATTTTAATCCCCATGTGACATCAATTGTCAAAAGGAAGAAAGGAGTTGGGGGGTAGAGGAGGCAGAGGAGAAAGAAAGTGCATATTTCAAAACGTGAGAACAGCATAAAATGAGTTGAGAGAAGCTGGGAGTGAGTGGAGAGGGCATCTGGGCAGAGGGTGGCATGAACGCCATGTGGCTTGCTCAGAGGGTTAAACCAGATGGGCTGAAATGGGGGTTTAAGTGCAGAAAAGCCCCTGAAGGTTGGTTTTAAGGAGACCGGTGACATGTGCAAAATGATGCTTTAAAAAATCAGTTTGGCTGGGGTGTGCCGAAGTATTCGGAGGGAGGCATCAAAGGGAGGAAAGAGATGACTGCCCCATAAGAAAAGGCCTGGCCAGGGCGGAGGTGGAATGGGGGGGTGCCAAGGAGGTAGATCTTGGCTGGGGGGCCTGCTGTCCCATGTGCAAGGGTCTCAGCATTCTCTCCTCCTGGTAAATGACTGAAGGCTGCCTGCAGACAACGCCGGGGCACCACCGGGTCAGGCCAGTCCAGCAGGTTCTGGGGGACCCTGGGGCGCTGGCTAAATATTTCACATACTCACACAGCAAAGAGCTGGATAGAGGGGTGCTCTCACCCCCGGGACTCCCACTGTGATCTCCCAGCCCATCGGACCTATCATTTTAAAATCTCTGGCCTACCAAGGCCTACTTATTAAGTAATGATTATGGCTTTCCCATTTTTATTCATCAAAACTACAAATAACTGCCCAGCTGAGCTTCTGATTAGCTGAAATAACCAGTGCTACCACGGTGGGTTCGTGCGATTCCAGCCATCAACTTTTGGAAAACTTCGAACTCGCTCAGTCTGCCTCCTCCCCGCACTAGCTCTGGGGGGCCCGGGGGAGAGAAAGCCAGTACTAGAGACCCCTGGGCAGCACGAAGGCCTGAGGGCCTGGGACAAAGAGCTGTCAGTCGGCCAGACACGTCACTGCCTGAGCCCATTTCTGGGGATGGGGTCAGGGGACTGAGACAGAACAGCCTGCAGGCTCGCTCAGTCAGCGTGAGCAGGCCTGACATCTGGGAGATATCGGGGGTGCATGCGAGCCCAGCACAGGGCTCACAGCCTGGCCCACGTTAGAACATTACAATCACCTGTGCAGCTTTAAAAACACACCAGTGTCTGAGCCCTCCTCTGGAGATGCTGACTGAATCGGTCCAGGCGGGACACAGGCTTGTTACTTTTTAAACGACCCCTGGGTGCCGGCTAGTTGACAGCGGGGAGGACAGAGAAATACGAGGACAAGGACTTCACTGAGGCCGTGGGGAGGCTCTGGATGGCCTCTGGGAAACCACATTACAAGCACCCACAGCCCAGGGTGCCCTGCCATTTTGGGAACCAGACAGAGATGCCTCTCGGTCTGCGGGGAAAGCAGGGCTCACTCTGGGTCTCCATCCTCCATCGCCAGTTGCACAAAGCACTTGTCTGTGTGGTCTCCTTCTCAGCGGGAGCTCTGCACCAACCCTTAGAGGTATGTGGCCAGGTCCCGCTATGCCCCCTTCACAGATGGGGAAACGGAGCCTTGGGGCTTCCTCAAGGTCACGCAGGTAGGAGGAGCAGGAGTAGGACATGAACCCGGCCCTCTGACTGAATCACCTGCTTCCTACATGCCCCAGCACTGGAGGGTGGAGAGGGGGCTGCACAGCCAGCAGACCAGAAACAGGCCATGGTCTTGGGGGCCCTGGGTCTGTGGAGGGATTAGTCTTGGAGGGCACTAATGTCTAGTGCGTGCTGAGTCCAAGCCAGGCGTCACCATCCTCTGGCCTACAGGACCAGCCCTCTACTCCCCTGTGAAAGAGCCATGAGCCAGAGACCGCCCTCACTCTAACCTGGAACGAGGATCAAGAGGCCACACCGGGGGCTCACACCCTCACTCCTCATAGCAAAACTAATCCTTCCAGACCCTCCCTTTGCTCTGTAACCCGTTTTGGCTGTCCCCATCAATGCCCAAGCTGGGTGGAAGATTCCATTTTGCTGCTGATGTATCTACGTTTGGATTCATTTTTCTTCAGCTGATTTGGACTTGTGAGCACAGTCTGTCTCGTGAAAGTGCCAGACTGCAGACTGATGGTAAAGAGTTCATCTGCCAGTTTTGTGGTTTAACTCAACTCTCTCTCTCTGACGTTTATTCTTCTGGATTCTGGCAAAAGAGGGGAAAACTCAATCTCACAGGCTTGGGAGTCCAATGTGAGAATGAGACGGCTGATGGCCGATTCTCTCTGGGCGCGCCCCATGCCGGTGGCCTTCCTGTCCCCCCAATAAACCTGCTGAGTGCAGGGCGCTAGCCAGGGACCACGGGGACCCGGCTGCTCGTGTGGGTGTGCAGGAGTGCCTGGGTGGGTGCGTTTCCATTCAGCACTGTCATCAGGGAGGTGGGCAGGGACTTACGGACACAGCGACTGGGTGTGGGCTCCATCTGGGACAGTCTTTCGGCTCTGAGTGAGCCTCTCCTTCTAGAACTTCTCAGCAGCATGGATTTTCTGATGCCGAATGAGGTGCGAGCTGCCCCTGAAAGACTTGCCACATCTGTTGCACTCGTAGGGTTTCTCTCTGGTGTGGGTTTTATAATGCTCAATAAGGGCCGACCTGTGCCGGAAGGCTTTGCCACACTCATTGCACGCATAGGGTTTCTTCCCTGTGTGGATTCTCTGATGCTGGATCAGGGCAGAGCTGTGGCAGAATGCCTTCCCACACTGGCCACACTCATAGGGCTTCTCCCCGGTGTGGATCCGCTGGTGCTCGATGAGGGACGAGCTCTGGCTGAAGGCTTTCCCACACTTATGGCATTTGTAGGGTTTCTCGCCAGTGTGGGTCTTACGATGTTCAATGAGGTTGGAGCTCTGGCTGAAGGCCTTCCCACACTCTTCACATTTGTAAGGTTTCTTCCCAGTGTGAATCCTCTGGTGCCGAATAAGGTGAGACCTGTGACAAAAGGCTTTACCACAGAGATCACATTCATGAGGTTTCTTCAGGGTGTGGATTTTCCGATGCTGGCTCAGGCCTGAACTCTGGTTGAAGGATTTCCCACATTCCTTACACTGATAAGGTTTCTCTCCGGTATGAATTCTCTCGTGTTTTCTGAGACTTGAGCTCCGACTGAAATCCTTCCCACATTCCCTACACTCATAGGGTCTCTTCCCAGTGTGGGTTTTCTGATGTTGCGTGAGGGCTGAGCTCTGGCGAAAGGCTTTTCCGCATTCCCGGCATTCATAGGGCTTCTCCCCGGTGTGGATGATCTGATGTCTGAGAAGGTGCGAGCTCTGGCTGAAGGCCTTCCCACACTCACAGCACTCGTAGGGCTTCTCCCCCGTGTGGATCACCAGGTGTCGGAGGAGGTGTGAGCTCTGGCTGAAGGCCTTCCCACATTCCCGACACGCATAGGGCTTTGCTGGTTGTGCAGTTCTGTGAAGTTTGTGAGGTCCCAAGTCCCCCCTGCCTGCTTTCTCACAATCATGTGAGTTCTTCTCCATTGTGGGTTCTTCTCCATCGTGGATTATCTGACATATACTAAGGTCTGATTTCTGGAGGAAGGTTTGGCCAAATATTTCGTCATCCTGGGGCCTGTTTACTGGCAGGATACTCTGATGCTGAACAGGGCTTGAGCACAGACTAAAATTCCCCTCATAATCATCATGTTCCTCGTCTTGCTCCCCAAGAGGGATCTCCTTATAGATAACAGCCATTTGCTCTAGACCCCTTTCCTGAAGAAAAGGGTCACCCAGGTCCTCCTCTGGGAAAAGTTCTTGCTGCATCTCTAACCCATCCTCAAACACAAAGGTCTCACCAAGCTTGGTTGCTGGGGAAACCTCCATTGTGACTCTACTGACTATTTCTTGAAAGATGTTCTTCTTCGGGTCACACTTACTGTTCTCACAATCTGAAAAGAAAAAGGGACATTGTCAAGCCAGCAAGTCAAGCACCTAGAACTTCCTGTGCCAGAATCTGTGGTGGGTGTAACAAAATAAGTATAAGACACAATCTTGCCCCAGAGATGATCCCCACTGAGTTAGAGATGATTTTGATTTACCAGAAACAATTGCAAGGAAGACAGACACACTTACCACACCGTGGTGTCTAGACTCTAAAGGCTGAAGGTGGGGCCAGCCCTGTGGCTTAGCGGTTAAGTGCAGGTGCTCCGCTACTGGTGGCCCGGGTTCAGATCCCGGGCGCGCACCGACATACCGCTTGTCTGGCCATGCTGAGGTGGCGTCCCACATGCAGCAACTAGAAGGATGTGCAACTATGACATACAACTATCTACTGGGGCTTTGGGGGAAAAAAAAAGGAGGAGGATTGGCAATAGATGTTAGCGCAGAGCCGGTCGTTCTCAGCAAAAAAAACAGGAGGATTAGCACAGATGTTAGCTCAGGGCTGATCTTCCTCACAAAAAATAAATAAATAAATAAAATAAAGGCTGAGGGTGTTCAGAAAGGTGGGCTAGAACACAAAGTGCAGCCGCTGTGGAAAATGGACAAGACTTGGCTACTGGAGGATGAGTCCCCGTTGGGGACGGGGTTTTGTTCAAAAAGAGAGAGAGCACACACTTCCCTCCTACACTAGGTCAGCTGCGCTCCCTCCAGCCAGCTGTGTGCCCAGGCCAGAACCCTGGGCGTCTGCCTAGACCTTCTCGTTCTCTCAATGAGCATGGCTCATCCCGACCACTGCCTGAGGCTTTATCCAAGGGGTCTCTGCCTCTCTGTCCTCAATGCCATTCTGCAGCTCAGGCCTCAGTGTGACTCCCCAGGATTATTTCAATACTGGCCTCCCACCTGGCCGCCTACCTCCAGTTTCTGCTCCTCCCTCTGGTCTGTTCTACACATTGACACCAGTGTCAAATACCCAAAACACAGGCCTGATCGTGTCACTTCCCTTCTTAGGATCTTGCAGCAGCCCAACTCCTTCACAAGGCCCTTCCAGCCCTGTCTCCAGCCTCTTGCTGGAGGTATATATATATACTATATATATATATATGACTAAATGACTAAATATATATATGACTAAATGACTAAATATATATATATATATATATTTGTGTGTGTGTGTGTGTGTGTGTGAGGAAGACTGGCCCTGAGCCAACATCCATGCGAATCTTCCTCCACTTTATATGGGACCCTGCCACAGCATGGCCTGACAAGCAGTGTGTCTGTGTGAGCCCTGGATCTGAACCCGGGCCACCAGCAGCGGAGCACGCGCACTTAACTGCTACGCCACGGGGCCAGCCCCCTAAAGATTATTTTTTTTTAATGACTTTTCAGCCAGTAGAAAGGCCAGGTGTGCAAAAAAGCACAGAACTATTCTCAAAAATTCTTTGATCACTTCAACAACTCCTCTCTCCCCTCCTCTTCAGCAACCATAATCTCCAATCCTTCCAGCTCTAACTCACCCTCACCAAGTCTAACAACCAGAGTGATGGCCCCATTCTCCTCTTCTAGTTCCACCCCTTCCCTGTCCAGCTCGGACCCTCTCTATCTACCGCGGGTCTGACTACAGAGTCTCTTCAGCTCTCTCTCCAACCACCATCAGGATCCTCACTCCTTGCCCTGCTGCAAACAGCCGCGAACTACCAACTTTCTCTGCCAATCCCTCCTAGGATGTTAAACGTTGCCAAGGAAAATCATACGACTGCGTATGGCACCGAGACAAATTTCAAGTTTCCAGTTTCAGCCGGGACTTGGCCCAGCACTCAGCTCCCCCATCCAATGACTTCCTTCACTCAGCTCCCACATCCAATGATGTCCTTCCCCAACCCCTCTCTCCTCAGCCCTCCCTTTCCCATCCCTCTGGCACTGCTCACCAATACCTCCTCAAAACCCTTCATTTCAGAGACTGCAAATTGGCAGCAAAAATTTGGATCCTGCCACAGACACGTTTTGTTTGGCTCTCAAAGAGCTGGGCTTTTCCTTTTTGTTTGACTTAGCTACCAATATTGAAAACTCAGCAGGTTTCTGTCTTGCTCTTGAAAAACTGAAAAAGGCCCACCCCTTCACTAAACCCACCTTGCCTACCTGGCTTTTGAGCTTGCCGGCCAAGCCACCCCCACGCCCACGCCCTGCTTTATTCCCTTGGTTTCTGAAAGCCTTTGCTCCTCCAATTTTCATGCCTTCTGATTCCTCCTTCTCGGTATCTGTGGATTGCAACTCTTTCTCCACCCACCTGTTCAATCCTGGTGTTTCCATTCTCACTATGTGCCACCTGCACGCTGAAGTCGGCACTCTTTGAAAATCTGGCACTCCTTTATCTGTCCCCAACAATGTTTTAAATACTTTTGGACCGAAAATTCAAAGGTCTGGAATCCCACGCTTCCCACGTCTCTCGGGGCCTTCCCCGGTTCCTCCTGCGTCCGTCACCCCATCATGCGGGGAGCCCCAGGGCTCGGGCACCGGGCGGACCCTCGGTCGGGTCAGGGTTTCCTGGCTGAAAGCCGGCGAGCGGCCGCGGACCCGCACACGCCGCCCGGGCGGCGACGCCGGCGCCCCTGCATGCTCCCCTCCGCTGGGGGACGCCCACGCCCGGGGCCACCGGAGGGACAGGTGGTCACGCTGCTGACGCGGAGCCACTCACCTGGGCCGGGGCGGGGACGCTCACCTGGGCAGGGGCGGGGCCGCGGGAGGGCGCGGCAGGGCGGCACCTGAACTGCTTCAACCCGCGGCCAACACGGCCTCGCTCGGGGCTGCTGCTGACGCGGAGCCCGCGGCGGCCCGAGGGCCCGGAGCCCCGCCCCCTCCCGCGGGCACTTCCGGGACCGCTCTAGGCCGCGCGGAGGCCCCGCGTCTCGGTGGTCCGGTCGAGCCGGGCGTCGTCGCGCGTGGCCGCCGGGCTCGGGGACGCAGGGCCGGGGATCTGGAGGGTCTCTCCAGTTGGCGCAGTGGCTCTGGGCTGTCCGAAAAGCGCGGCCCGGCTATGGGGAAAACTGAGCGGGGCAGGCGTTGGCAGGAGTGCAGAGGAGGAAACTGAGGCCGGGAGGGGTGGCCAGCCTAGAGCCGCAGGCAGGCGGCCAGTGCCCGCTGCACTTGCCCTGGGGGTGGGGGCAAGCCCGAGGCCCTGGGGTGTCTGGGGTCTTCAGGAGAAAGGGTTCCCAGAGCTGCGGAGCCCGTCATCCCGCACAGGCCCAGGGTCCTGTTAGCATTCACCCTCCCTTTCTGGGTAGTCCTGGTCTCGCCTGCCCACCCCACCACCACAGAGACTGAGATGAGCGGAGGGGCCCGCTTGCGGCCCTGGAGATGGCTGAGAGTGGAGGCGGGACTCCCAACTCAGTGCGTCTGAGGGATGACCTCCAGACATAAGGCTCCTCCAGGGGAACCGGGAGGGAAGAGGAGTGTGTTCTTGAACCCCCCACCTCACTCCCAGGCGCTCAGCTCTACTTCTGATGGCAGGACTTGCCCCTCCACCAGTGCTCCCCTCTTGGTCCACTGCTGCCCAGGTGCTGCCTGCCCCGCCTATGGGAGAGCCTCCCTTGGGGGCCACAGCCCTATGGTGGGAGACCAGGAGAACACACGTTCCTGGGAGGAGGGATGCTGTCCACTCTGCCCCTGCCATCAGAACCCTCTGCCCTGGCCCTCAGGTGCCTCTGAGTGCCCCCACCCCCCAACACACACACACTCACACTTGCCTCCCTGCCCCATCAAGGAGTAGGCTGGGGCTGCCTGGGCCCAAGCTAGCAGGCTGGGCTCCATGGGGACCCAGTCCAGTCACCCTGTGGGCGTTGGACCACAACCAACCATGCAGAGCTGGAAGTGGCAAGGGCTGGTTCCTTTTTCTCTCCCTCCAGCTCCTCAGGTCACAAGAGTCTGAGCCCCCTGGGGGCCCGTGGGGAGGCTGCGCCCCGCCCCAAGTGTCTCAGGTGCTTCCTCTTCTGCAACAATCCCCAGAACCCCTGCCCCCACAGTCCCAGACCCACCACAGTCACTTTTTCAGCAGGGATCTCACAGCCCTTAGAATAGTTATTGTTGACATGTTGAATGTTATTAACCCATTTTACAGAGGAGGAAAATCAAGGCTGAGAGAAAGTTAGAGAGGGTCCAAGGTCAGGGGCAGAAGTGAGAGGCAGACAGAAGGCACTCATCCCACACCCCACCCCTAGGATGTGTAGCCCACGGAGCAATAATAATCTGCGTCGTCCTCGGGCTGCACGGGGCTGATGGTCAAGATGCAGGTGTTGTGAGCTGTGTCTGCGGCTGCCGAGAAGCGGTCAGGGATGTCAGAGGGCCGGTGGTGGTCTTCCTCTGAGCGGTAGTAGAGGAGGTAGCGAGGGGCACTGCCTGCCCGCTGCTGATACCAAGACACACCATAGTCCCCAATGGGGTGGCGGGGGCTGATCGTGCAGGAGAGTTGGGCCACTTGGCCTGGGAAGACCAGCAATGACTCCGGCTGGGCCAGGGCTGGCTGGGAACCTGAGAGAGACAGACCTGCTCAGGCCTGGCCTGGCCCCCTCCCTCCTGCCCCTGCCCCATGAAGGCTTGGTCAGACTCCAAGGAGACTCCGCCTCCCAAAAGATTCATAGCTCGGTGCCATGGGATCGACACTGGATGGGGCACAGAGTTGGCAACCCCTAAGTCTCCATTAGTGCCATATCCCCAAGGATCCGTGCTCAGTTGAGGGCCTAGAGTTCAGAGGGTGGGACAGGGCACCTCTGGGTCCTTCTGCTGTCCACCCCCATCTCTTGCCCTGCAGAGTCTTATCCCATCAGTCACACTGCCTCTTCCAAACCCTGCATACAGGCTACCCACCCCCAGGAAGCCTCCTGGGCTGTACCACCCATCAGCTCAACCTCAGGCAACTGGCCACTGGGGTTAGGTTGTCCCTGATGTCCTGTGGGGTAGGGACCAGCCCACACCAGCTTCCCTGTGAAAAACTAAGAAGGTGACCAGCTCTAGTCTATCTCTGAGACCCCAAAGAGTCAGAGTCTGAAGGGACCCCAGTGATCTGGTCAACCACAAATGGGGAAACTGAGGCCCACACAGAGGGACTTTTCCCACGTCTAGGGCAAAGTCACATGTAGCCAGTTCTCCCCTCTACCTCAATGCCCCTTCCAGAACCCTCCCACTGCCCATATTGATTTGCTTCCTTGCAGGGGCCTTCTGGAGCCAGTGCTGTCCCCCACCCCACCCCCAGGTGAGCCAGGCCCAGGGAGGGCTCACCTGCCAGGAGGACCCCTGTCAGAAGGAGGACCAGACACCAGCAGGCCATGGGCAGAGGCAGGGAGGCAGGCGGGAGTCGTTCTGTTGGGTGTGCTCCAGGTGCTTCAGGGCTCAGGCAGTGGAGGCTGACCACGCAGGACATGCAAATCAGCCCCCACAGGCAGTTATGGCAGGTGGCTGCTTTTTTATTGAGGTGTAACTCACAAATGGTAAAGTGCACAAATCTTAAGTGTCTGGCTTGACGATTTTATGCACATACAGACACACACACACACACACACACACACACACACACCCCTGCAACGTCTACCCAGATGGAGATTTAGAACATTTCCATCTCCCCAGAAGGCTTCCTCATGCGCCTCCCCCATCAGTAACAGCCTCTCCACCCCCAGGGGTAACCATCATTCTGACTTGGATTACTTAGAGCAGTTTTGCTTGCTCCAGAACGCCAGCTTGGAACAGAATGATAGCGTGCCCTCTTTTGTCCCTGCTTCTTTTGTTCAGCATTATGAGAGTCACCCTGTGTGTGCAGCAGTATCTAATTCATTCTCATAGCTGTGTTAAATCCACTGCATGGATCAACCACAGTTAGTTCATCCATTCTCCTGTTATTAGACATTTGGGTGCTTTCCAGTCTTGGGCCATTACAAATAAAACTGCTGTGAACATTCCCGTCAGTGTCTTTGGTGCACCTGTGTTCTCATTTCTGCGGGACAGACACCCAGGCCTGGAGTTGCCGGGGGTTGGGGGGGCAGGTAGGGCATGTGTCCATTTAGCTTTAGTAGACTCTGCCAGTGTTCCCAGCATGGGTGTACCAATCTGCGCTCCCACCAGCACATAAGAAAGTTCCAGAGACATCCTCACCAGCACTGGACATGGTCAGCTTTAATTTGCCAGATGGAGGGGAGTTGGCTTCAGTTGGGATTCAATTCAAACTTGAATCCCAGCTCCTCCTCTTCTTAACTGCATGACTTCAGCCAAGTTACCTCTCCTCTCTGTGCCTCAGTTTCCTCATCTGGAAAACGAAGATGAGCATAGTACCAGCCTGAAGGTGTGAAGATGCAAAGATAGGACTTATTTGCTCAGTGTTGGGCACAATGCATGTATTAATCATGCATTTTATTTTCTGTGTTCTGATGCTTTGATATCTGGGGCCTTGCTCACCTTGGAGGAACTGCCCTTCCCAGGGTTAGCCAGTTCCTAGAGAGGGTAAATGACTTGCCTGAGAGCACACTTTTTATTTATTTATTTATTTATTTATTTATTTATTTATTTATTTATTTATTTATTGTGAAAAAGATCAGCCCTGAGCCAACATCCATGCCAATTCTCCTCTTTTTGCTGAGGAAGACTGGCCCTGAGCTAACATCGATTGCCAATCGTCCTCCCATTTTTTTCCCCCTTTTTCTCCCCAAAGCCACAGATAGTTGTATGTCATAGTTGCACATCCTTCTAGTTGCTGTATGTGGGACGTGGCCTCAGCATGGCCAGAGAAGTGGTGCGTCGGTGCACGCCCGGGATCCGCACCCAGGCGGCCGGTAGCGGATTGTGTGCACTTAATGGCTAAGCCACAGGCCAGCCCAGAGAGCACACTTTTTAAATGCAAACAAGCCAATCCAAAGCCCACTCTCAACCACCTCCTCTCTGGCTTTCCACTATCCACTGCCCTAATCACCCAGGGCCAGGTACCAGCCAACCAGGGACAGCCCCTATGCCCCAGAGCCCTGAAATTATTCAAACTAGCCCATCCTGAGCCTGCTTACCCTGCTCGCCTGTTCCTTCCCTCAGAAACCACAATAAAGCCTCCTGCCCACAGCTCCCCTCTCTCCCTCTGCCTCCTGACTCACCCTGGTGCTTCCCCGTGTGGCCCGCCTGTGGCATGTCATGCCTCCTCCTCTTGGGATCTGTGGGGAACAAACTATCTTCTCAACGCAATCGTCTCCTGATCTGTTGGCCTTACCATACCTAAATAATAATAAAACTAATTAAAGCAGTGCACTCTCATTAACTTGCAGCCCTGAAAGTTCCCTTGGGGGAGGTTATAAAGCCCCCCAGTGAGTCCCACTCCATTCCTAACACCTCCTTGGGGCATTCCACAGCACTCAAGATGAAACACCCCTCCTTGGTGGCTCTTGAGATGAGTCCCTCGGACAGCAGAGTGATGGCTGTCGGAGGCTCCAGGGCCTGGAGTGGCCATTCTTCCAGAATCTGGCTGCAGCCACTCCTGACCTGTGTTCTGCAGGACACAGTGGACACAGTGGACACAGTGCTGTCACAGGAACACAGTGCCCTGTGTTTCCATAAGCTTGGGAAACACTGCTTGTTCCCACAGCTCTGATGCTGAGCACTTGCTGCCTTCTGAGCACCGAGGTAGCCCTTTAAAGTGTTATCGCCTTTAATCCCCTCAACAACCCTGCCAAGTGGACGTGTCTTACCCCCTTTTTCCAGGTGAGGCACCGAGGAAAGAGCTTCTCTAGAGGCAGACTGGGGGGCTGGCGAGCTGCATGCAGGATCCAGGCCTCCCGCCTCCTCTGGAACTCTGCCTATGGGGGACAGGACCAACAGCCTCGTTGCTGGTCTGGGCTCAGAGCCTTGGAGCGGGCAGGAGACAGAACCAGAGAGACAGAGACAGAAGGGAGGCAGTAGGGGGGAAGGAAAGAGGTAGGACGATGGAGAAAGAGAGAGGGAGAGAAAGAAGTCAAAGAAAGGATAGATACAGATGGAAAGGCAGAGAAATGGGTTAATGTGAGAACTAGAGACAGAAAAAGAACAAAGGAGAGATGGCGGCCAGGAAGAGGGAGGAGAGAAGAAGAGACAGACAAATACAAGACAGGGAAGCTGGAAGATGAGAGCGGGAGAGCCAGGAGGATGAGAGAAGGACAGCTAAGAATCCAGGAGACCCAGCCACAACCAGACAGAAAGAGGGACCATGCAAAACGATGCGGGCACGCTGGAAAACATGGGCAGTTTCTCATCCAGAGAAATCTGCACTCTGGTGGTATTTACCCCAGAGAAATGAAAACTTCTATTCACACAAAAACCTGTAGGTGAATGTCTATCTTGGCTTCATTCATAATTGCCCAAACTGGAAACAACCCAAAACAATAGCAGGTGAATGGATCAACAAACTTTGGTTCATCCAGACAATGGAGTCCCCCTCCTCAGCGATCAGAAGGAAGAACTATTGATACGCAGGACAACCTGGGTGAGTCTCAGTCACTACGCTGCGTGAGAGAAGCCAGACTGCAAAGGCCCGTGCTATATGATTGCCTTCATAGGACATTCTGGAAAAGGCAGGGGCAGGACACAGAGCAGTGGTTGCTAGGGGCTGGGGTCAACTACAAAAGGGCGTAAAGGACTTTTGGGGGTGATGGAAATATTCTGCATCCCTACTGCGGTGGTGGTTCTGTGAGATTTGTCTCAACTCAAAAACACTAAAAAGGGGGAATTTTACCGTATGTAAATCATATCTCAAGAAATGTGACCAAAAAAGGAAAGACACAAGGGCAGAAGAAAGGAGAGGGAAGGTGGGAGTGAGAAGGAGGCAGAGGGAGGGAAAAGAAAGGGAGCACAGGGCAGGGCCTTGAGGTAGTAGGGAGCCTGCAAGGCTGCTGAGGTTCCTGGCGTCACAGGGCCACAGCGCTCCTGGCTCACGGCTCACGGCTCATGGCGGGGGTTTTCCCAGGGCCAGCGCCCCACCCCAGGAATCTCCCCCACTCTCAGCCTGGGAGCTCTGTCTCCACTGGTGGGAAGCTGTGGTCTCTGGACATCCCTGGGCTCTAAGGCTCAAGCCCCACTATAGCCCTGCCTCAGGGAATGCCCACACCCTCCCCTCCCAGATCCTGTTACCGGGATACTGGGGGGAAGGCATTTCCTGCCTAGATGTCTTGGCAGCTCCCACTGCCATGGAGACCAGCTTGGAAGCTGGGAGGGCCTCAGTCTCTTCGGCTGCTCTGACCCAGCGAGTGGGAGGAAGAGAAAGCCAAGGGCTGGACTAGCTGCAAGGACCCCTCTAGGCTGGTAGAGGCCAGCCCCAAGGGTAGGCGAGCAGGGACCTCCACCTGGGCCCACCCACCCACCTATCACCCACATACATATACTTCTCTCGGCAGGGCCCCACCCTGGAATAGATCTCAGCCCCAGCTCCCTCTGTGATTGGGAAGTTGGGGGTTGGGGGATCAAAGCCCCACATCTGTCTCCTCTCCCCTGCAGCCATGTTTATCACGGTGATGTTTGGAGGTAAGTGGGGTCCCCTGTCTCCGCAGACGTGTAGGGGGATGGTACACTCAGAGGTTTGCTTCCCTCTCCCCGGGGCGGGGGAGGCAGTGTGGGGAAGGGGGTGCACCTGGGGAAGGGGATGGGGGGATTTGGGGAAGCGGCTCTGTGAGGAGACAGAGCGAGCGCCTGGAGTGAGTCCCTTGAGGGGAAAACCCTGGCTGGGACTGGGTCCTGGAAATTCACAGGGCTCCTCTCAAAAAGCTCCTGCCACACCTCCGTGGAGCATGTTTTTAAACTGCAGACTGCTTAGCTATTCAGTCAGTGGTCCTCAAGCTTCAGGGTGCAGCAGGCACCTGAAGCTCTAGCCACAGCTGGAGATTCCCGCCTCTCCGGTGGAAGGCAGGGCTGGTGCGGGAGGGGTGTCCGGTGCAGGCGCAGGAGGCATGAGTTGTGCACCCCAGTCACCGACACCTCAAGACGGGTGTCGGGGTACAGTCCTAGTCCCATAGCCCTGTTCCCCGCTCTGCTTAGGGAACAGATGAGTGAGGCAGAATGCCCCATTTGCTCACCCCTGCCCCTACCCCACAGCCGGCTGCTGGGAGCTGGTGAACCCCTGGTGCAGCCTGGTGACTCTGGCTATCCACCTGAGGCAGAGGGGGCAGGTGCCCCCAGATGGTGAGGGGGTAGGAGGGATGATGGGGAGGGGGAGCCAAGGGCCCCCAGGCAGGGGTACCAGCCCTGCCTTGCCTCTCTCCCTACCCTCCCAGCGACCATCGCCCTCCTGGCTGAGGACGGGCACCTGGTGAGCCTGGTCGAGGGCCTGGAGGAGGGGGCTTCCCCAGCCCCCTCCATGGGCACTGCCCTGCTGCAGGAGCGTAGGACCTATGTCCTTGTGCAGATCATCAGTAAGTAGGGCCCAAGACTCCTCCCTGAGGTTATGTTGGAATGTAACAGGGGGGATGGTAGTCCAGAGATTACCCAAGGCTCTGCTCAGTCCCCTACTTTGCACTTTGGCTGGGACCTAGCCCTGACCCTTCCCACCCAATGTCCTGTCCTGACGCCAGCCTGGGCCAGCAAACAGGTCCAAAGCAAAAGGTGGGATGGGGACCACCAGGCCAGTCAGGAGTCATTCTTTCCCCTTCCAGAGGGTGAGGGTGGGGCCCCCACCCGCTATGAGTCCCTATTGCAGAACCTGGATGACCGGTGTCCAGAGCTGGCAGGTGAGTGTCATGGTAGAGCCCTGGGTTGGGTGGTGGGGAGCACACCTTCTCCCCAGCCTGGACAGGCAGGGCTTCCTGGGCCTTGCAGAGGAACTGCGCTGGCTGTCGGGCCTACCCCCCATGGGTGATGGCCGGAGGAGGCACATGGCCACTCGGCGTGGCCACCAGGAGCAAGGCCCTCCTCCTTCAAGGTCTCGAAGGGTAGGCTCCCTGCCACCCAGGACCCGCTAGTTGGGGCCAGGAGCCAGGTAAGGAGACATGGACAGCTGGGGGCTGCTCACATCCAGAAGTGGGACCCCTTCCCAGGGAACAGACATGTGCTGAGAGGTGGACCCCCAATGGCAACCCCACACACACATATCCACAAGATGGAACATACTGTACTGGGAGACAGGCCCTCACTACCCCGCTGAGTGTAAGTGCCCAAGAGCAGGAACATCCTCAGGGCCCAGGAGACGTGGAATAGGGCCTGGCACACAGTAGACACTCGACGAAGAGCTGTTGAATGAACTCAGTGAGGGCAGCAGCACAGAGGGTGTGATGGCGAGGTCTGCACCGGGTTTGAAGGACCTGCTCCTCTGTTCCTGCAGCCCTTGTGATTGGGCACACTGCAGCCAAGTGGCGGAGCTGGACTCAAATCCAAGGGGGTTGGCCGTGACCTCTGCCTTGCGTGTCAGGCCCAGCCAGCCAGTGGCCCCGCAGCATTCCTCTTGCAGTATCTGAGAAGTTGTATCAACAAGAGGAGCAAGGTCGTAGACAGAGGTCAAGGACACACACAAGGCCACCAGGGAGCCCCTAAGATGTGGGTACAGAGAAAGGGATCCAGAGGCAGAGACAAGAAGGGTGGAGGGGGCAAGCATCCCTGAGAGGAGGAGACAGGATCCTCCAGCGATTCCAGCCCCCAGAGTCATAGGACCTTGGGGTCACCTGCTAAGCCTCACCACCTCCCTTTGGACTGCCCAAAGCTGTCGGATTGATTACAGCAGGGATCCCCCCTCCCTGCCCAGGATGCCAGCTGAAGGTGAAGCAGCAGTCTACCCACAGTGTGACATCCATTCTCCCCACCTTGTCAGCCACAGTGCCCGGCAGATAGGCCAGTGAGAGGACACAGCAGGCTCTGGTCTAAAATAAACTCTTTTAATTGCACATTTGTGTCTCGGGTCACCTGTGGGGTGAGAAACGCCCTCCTCACTCCCAATCCCAGCTACGTGGGTACAATCTGATGACGCAGTGGTCCGGCTGTCAGTGAAGGGTGGAGGTGGTACAGGGCTGCCGACGAATCTGCACCAGTCTGCACCAGTCTGCACTGGTCTCTTCAGGGCAGGGAGCTCAGACCTGCGGAGGGAGGGCAGGCGACACAGGTCCACAGTCAGCCCCAAGGTGCTGGAAGAGAGACTGCCTCCAACCGCCCTCCCACTCCTTCTCCCACCCCCCGGCCAGGTCAGGGGCAGCTCACTCACCGTGGTTGTACTTGCACTGCTTCAGGGCCTCGCTGAAGCCCTCGCACAGGGACAGGTCACTCTGAGTGGTGGAGCAGTCCAGGAACTGCCTGATCTCGTAGGCACAGGGCCCCATCTGCAGGGGCTGCGGGGCAGCGCGAGCGGGGGCCTGGGGGACAGCGCAGGAGGCAAGGTCAGCTTGGGGTTGGCACCCAGAGGTGGATTCCAAAGCTGAGGGTCGGCTGTGCCTCCCCACATCCCTAGCCCGGCTGCCCCAAGGGTCCCAGCCAGACTGAGTGACCCAGAGCCAGCCCACCCACAGCTCCATGTGTGAAACAAGGTAAGTCCACAGCCCTCTCAAAGCCATTCAGCTGATGCTAGCACCAGTGTAGACAGCATTTCCCTGTGGCTTCATAATGGGCATGCTGGGCAGGTGTGGGGGTGGGAGAAGGATCTAGAAAAGCTGGGTGCTCTGCTTGTACTCTTGGAGTATAAGCCCCACCCCCACAAATTCTGGCACCTTCCTGTCTCAGCCACACTGATCCTCATAACCCCTGACCCGCTAAGCCCACATTTGGCTCAGGACTGGTGGGGCGCCCAGTGGGGGAGGCCAGCAGGGAACAGGTCTCAGAGTCACAGGCTACTCTTTGCCCTTGGGTCAGGGGGCTACAGTGCCTGACCTGGGAGTGGGGAGAGTGGGGACTCAGGATCCACAACATCCCTCCCCTCTACTAGGGTTAGGTGACTGTGGGCCAGTCTCTGAGCCCCTAAGGGTCTGGGTTTGCCCACCTTTAAAGGGCTGGTTGGTGGCTGTCCCCAGGAGTCTAGGGAGCTTGGCCTCAGTGGCCGGGAGGAGCTGGGAGAGCCTGCCTATGAGTGACAGAAGGCCAACAGCAGCGTGAAGAATAGGACCTCTTTGGGCAAAGTCCTGGGCCTGAGGCAGCTCTGGATACGCCTCGCTGGGCATTCCAGCAATTCTCTGCTATGTGGCTTTGAGAGCCGCCTGCCTCTGCTTCTCCTGAGCCCGATGCTCACCTGCTGAGCGGGAGGCTGTGCGGGCTCTGAGCTGCCCCCGCTGAAGGCTCCGGTCAGGGCGCCGCCGACGACGTGTCCCACAGCCGAGCCCACGGCTACCCCCGCGGCCGTGGACGCCATCTGCGCCATCAGGCCCGGCTGGCCCGACGGGGCGGGGGCCGTGGCAGTGGCCGAGGGCGGCAGGTGCGCGGGCGGGTGGGCAGAGGGAGCGGCGGTGCGGCTGCGGGGTTGCGGGAAGCAGGGTCAATCCCGGCCGGACCCCAGGCCCTGAACCTCAGCGGCCTGCAGCCTCTGGAAATGCCGTGCCCTCCTCCTCCCAGTGGGGTGGGCGACCCCCGTGTTAGACACGCGTTGCGGCGCCCCCGCCCTTCCCCCCAAGATGGCGCAGTAGTCGCCAAGGTCACGCTACCGCGCCCTTGGGGGAGTGCCCGCTTGTCCCGAGCCCCCTCCCCACGGGGCCCCTGTCGCGCTCACACCTGGCTGGCCGGGCACCTGCACTGCGGCTCCCCCGGGGCATGGTGGCGGCGGAAGGACCCGGCCAAGCAGAGGCAGAGGCGGCGACGGTAGCGGCAGTTCCGTCTCTGGGACGAACGCTGGCTGCGCTAGTCACAGCCGGCGCGAAGGGCGGGGCCCCGAGGACACACCCCCGGCAGGAGGCACCAGGAGTGAGGCAGCTCTTCCCTCCCATGGGTCCCCGGACCTCTCCCTTCCAGCATCCCCTCGTCTCCGCGCCCGTCTCCGTAGCACATGTCACCCTGCCCCCTCCTTGCGCCTGGCTCACGCATTGTGGGCCCTGGGGACACGGGCCAGAGTCGCAGAGCGCCGAGGGCTTACGCAGGGGCGACGGGCCAGGGCCTTCAAAGAGCCCCGTGGAGTGCAGGGAGTGGAGCTGGTGCTGTCCGAGCTCCAGGGCAGAGGGTTCAGGCCAGCCGGAGGGGGACACGAGGCGCCAGGCCGGGCTCCACTCCTCCGCCTCTATCGGACAGGGTTTGCAGGTTTCGGCGTGGTCTCAGGGTTGGGGGGTGCGCGGGGCACTAGAGCGGGGAAGAGATGCCCTGTGGAAGATCTGGCGCGACCCGCCCCAGAACCCCTGCCAGGGGGCGTCCGGAACCCCTCTTCAACTCCACCTCGGTGCGATGAGGTCCCCCATGCGGCCTTGCACTCCCCCTGCCCCCCTGCCCCACGGATGCAGCGCCGGACACTGACAGCGTTCACGCGACATTCAAGCAGCGAGTCCGTCCGTCCCAAAGGCCTGACCTGAGTGCCTAGAGGCGCTTGGCGGGTTTGAATCCTGTGGCCTTGCAATTTTACCACCTCGTTCCAGGTCCAGGGGAGGGTGGAGGCGCCTTTCGGACGCTTCCCAGCCCTTCAGGAACTTGAAGTTTTTATGGTGTTTTCTGAGTGACTTGGCAGTGTTCATATTATTATCCTTGGGGAGAAGGGGCCCTGACTTCCCTCCCCTCCCCTGTCACCATCCAGTGTGCCCTGGTGGGCCCTCCGTGTGCCCTGGGGAGGCCTGGTGGCACTGGGATTGTGGGGAGGATGAAATCACTCACAGCAAAGCTGTGTGTGGGGGTCCCAAGTGGGAAGAGGAGCCCTTGGTGAGGAGGAAGGAGGGAGGGAAAGAAGGGAAGGGGCAAGGGACTGAGCCTGGCGCTCTCAGTTATGTGTGTGTGGAGCACTCCTAGGTCACACATACCTGCAAGCCATGTGCACCACTGTATTCCTACCACACAATCCTCTCAGTTGGCCTGTGAAGCAGGACTCTCCCCTGACCCCCGTCTGGGCTTGGGTCTCAGTTTTCTCTCCTCTTAAGTGTGGGTGACCACCCACCTCCAGGTGAGGTGAGTATGTGAAGGGTGGGCCATTCTCTCCTCATAGACATGCCAGGCCTGGTCCAGCCTCCACTCCTTTGCTCAGGAACCCTGCCGACCTGGTTCCTGTTTGCCAAATTGGCCCAACCTTCTATTCTTTTTTTTTTTTGGTGAGGAAGGTTGGCCTTGAGCTAACAACTGTGCCAATCTTCCTCTATTTTGTATGTGGGATGCCGCCACAGCATGGCTTGATGAGCGATGTGTAGGTCTGTGCCCAGGATCCGAACCAATGAACCCCTAGGCTGCTGAAGTGGAGCATGCAAACTTAAACACTACACCACCAGGCTGGCGCCGTACCCACTTTGAAGTCATCCTTCTAGTCTTATCAGGGTCCTCTGGCAGGAAGTGCTCTGTGACCAATCCCCCTTGCTGGGTGCATAATTGGCCTCTAATCATGGCCCTCCACCCTGGGCCTGCACTGTGGGTAGTTGTGACTCAGCTCCCATAACTGGTGGACTGCAGGTTCCCCAAAGCACAGCCATGCACCCTGGATGCACTCAAGACTTCTTAAGGTAGTTTCACAAATAAATATTTTTATTTAAATAGTTATGTATTTTCACATGTATCAGAAAAAAATGTATAATTAGCTCATCAAATCCATAATTTCTTGGCCAATATTGCTAACAATGAGGCTGAAGTAGGCATTTCAATTTTTAAAAGTGAGTCACTTTGATGAAAAAGATTGCTAATAGTCCAGGTAGTAAAAAGCACTGTTGTCTTCCCTCTCCTCTCCCTCTAGGAGTGAGTCTCTGTGGAGCCTTCCTGGAGAAGCTGTGGAGGCTCCCTGGACCAGAAGGGAGGGAGGGTTGAATCAACCTGATTGCCCTCTCCTCCCTCCTGCCTCTCCTTTCTTGGGCCCAGGCTGGTGCCCACAGCCTCACCTTGCAGCGGCTCAGGACTCTGCCAGGATGGGAGCCACTGCTTGGATTTTGACTCTGCAGAATGGCCCGTGATGGAGCAGATTGCCGGGTGAGATGGTGGGGCCCCCATCACCACAAGGACTGTGTGAGAATGGAGGATCCCTTTCAGCCTGTGGACACCACCCCTCCTTCCATTCTTACCTCTGCTTCTTCAGGTCTCAGGAGGCTGGCCCTCAGGGGCCCCAAGGAGCATGCTAGTCCCTGACCAGTGGACAGCCTGGGCCCCCAGTGCCCCCTACAGACACTTACCCCCTGCCGCCTTCTGACAGCACCTTCCCTCCAGCTGACCAGCTAGAGGGCCTCCTGGTCCCTCCCACTGCCTGCAGGTATGGAAAAGCCAGCTCTGGTCCCTCCCTTTTGGGGCCTCAGTTTTCCCATCTATAAATTGTCTATGGTTCTGTTCAAGCTGGCAGGCTGGCCAGCCTCCTCCATATGCCTCAGTTTACCCTGGGACACATCCCTTTTCTCACAAGGGCTATTGTGCCACCTTCCAGATGAATCAGCTGAGGCTCTAAGGGGTGGGGGAACTTGCTCATGGGTAGGACCACCTGTCTTAGGCTAGCAGGAAGTCAGAGGTCAGGCCACCAGGGAGACCAGCCAGGGATGCGCCTTCCAAGGGTGGGGTTGGAGACGGGGAGGAGTGAAACCCGACTCCTCGCAGACTCCTCACCGCACAGCTGGGAAACTGAGGCCCGGAGTAGCACCAACCGGCCAGGGTCACCCAGCGCTAAGCTTCCGAGGCCACAGGCTCGACCCACCCCTGGGAAAGACTGGGACTCCGGGCCCGGCCCGCCCAGCCCCTCCCATCCACCTCCCCCACCCCGGCC